AGTGTGGGTGCCTTCTGATAGTAATTATTAACATTAAAAATACATTAATTATTGCATTGCATACTTGAAGCATGAAATGCCATTTTTCTCTAAATACATTTTATTGAAAACTTGAATTCTAAATGCAATGTTTTCTGCTCCAAAAAAATATTGTGGCAATATTGGCACTGTAAGTGACTGTATTTTGAAGTTGAATTTATGTAAAGCCATAATGTTTAAAGTGCCAATATGAAAGTCACATGACTTTTGGTGCTTAAAATGTTACAGCTTATATTTACATCATTTTGATATTCCAGAGAATTTGTACACTAGTGAATTTTTTACCATTTCATTGTAAAATTGAAATGAATTCATTCACTAGAAAAAGTGTTTTTTTTATCTCTCCTGAAAAGTTTGTTTTTTTTTGCATTTGCAACATTATGGCATTGCACATTTCACTTACTGTTATATTCTATACTAATGCAGCATATTATATACAGCTAATATTAAATTAATTATTCTTTTGTTTATAAATACAGCATATTATTAAATTGTATTATTACTGACTTATGAATTACTTTATTTTCTTATTTTTTAATGTTTCTTGTGATATTTGAAAACATATTTATTTATTTCACTTTCCTTTATAACAATATTAGCATATCCTCAACAATATTTGTCATTAAAACAGATAACATCCCCAAACGATTGCTTAGGTACTATACACAGGATTTGAATCCATGACCTGACAGCTAAAGAATGACTTGACAAGCTTTTAACTATATCAATTTAGAAAACTTGCAAACAATTTCATGATGTAATAATAAAAGTTTTTATTTATCTTTATTATTCTATATGTATTAATATCACCGTTATCTAATGTAAGTAATGCAATTCTAATGCTATTTGTATAAGCCTAACTGAAATTATGCAATTAATATTCTACTATAGTATATTTTCTAGGTAAATTTCAGGATCTTTTGGACAAAAATCTAAAGAAAACTTAAAATTTCACATGACAACTTGCTTGAACCTTCAACTACAGTTACTCTAGTTTGTGCATTAGCAGATATGGTTATGCTCATTCCAAAATATCTAACTGTCAGGATTGTAATGCTGAGCAGAACACTAGTACTTTATGACCATCTCACTACTAATTTATTTAACTTGTTTGACTTTACAAACAGGTTTCGGCAACCTATGGCATGCAGGATGATTTTCAGTGGCACACTGATTGAATAGAAATGTAGTAAAAATTATATTTTAATAATTAATTACACATTTAAATGGAAACCATAGTTCAGTGTAGACTAGGGTTATAATATCTGAAGGCAAAATACAGACAGATTAGCATTAAAAGTACTCAGAGAGGCAAAATAAAGGAAATTTATTCATATTTTTCAATCTGTAAATGTAGGCATATAATATAAAGTTTCAATTTACACTTTTATTTGGGGCATAGAATGCAACTTTAAATATAAGAAAACTATTTTACCACTTAGAAACAAGTACTATCGAATTAAAAATACTGTTATAATGAATGTGCACACGTTCTCTAAACAACAGCGCCATTACATTTGCTTATATAATGCTGTCACCTAGCCAACAAATACAGTCAAACCCCCTATAACACGGTAGATACATTCTGGTTTTTATGAATCCATTTTCTACGAGTCCAGCCAATCACAGCCCGGCACATATGCAGTTTACAGACTATGGCTTTTTGAAAGGTTTCTTCCATAAAATTAATCAATTCTAGACTAATTTGACTCAACATTTCCAAAATACGTATAATTTTTTGGGAATAATCCATATAAACTATGCTATAAACAAAAAATTGTAGGATTACTTACCGAATGTGCACCATTCGACTACGCCATTGCTTAAGCTTGTTTTCGTCATGGAGCTTGTCATTGAATGGCACTCGCGTGCTTCCTGATAAATTATTTTTTTTGCGAAAAATTTGCTGAACTTTGGAGACATCATTAATATAAATATAAATTTTATGGACGTTAAATAATAAATGGTGTTTAGGTCCGCTGCTTGTTTAAACTCAATGGTTTGTGCAATGTCCACTATTGGTCTAGATTCGACCAATCCTGTCACAACACGAGTCGGCGATGATGTTTTACTGAATTACATGCAAGTTTTTTTTAGCATGTTTGTACGAATACTGTCGCAATTTTTTGCCGTGATATAGGAATAAAAACTATAAGAACCCATGTTATGAGGGGTCGACTGTACAATAATAACTATAAAAAATTTAGCACCTTTTGTCAGATTTAAATTTAAGTGGTTATGATTTAACTATTAACTGCAAGATAAGTTGAAAAGTAAAAACATTTTGTTTATCTTTTCTAAGTGTGAAGACTTTAAAGTACGTCTGTCCATACTAAATATAGGGTGTACCACATTTTTAATGTTACAAGTAAGTGATTTCTTTTAATGTACCATGGCCTACACTATAGTAACCCTACTGTAGGCCATGGTACATTAAAAACAAATCACTTACTTGTATATTTATATTACAGCGCAAGCATTTGTGCTCTGTGTCTCCATTTACATGTTGTGCATGAGCCTCACACATAATTCATACTTACTTGGTGGATGTCATGCCAATACTTGTACTGACTCAAGAGAAAAATTCACACAAAAAGGACTTGTGTTCCTTAATGCTGTTTTGTGTGAATTTTTCTCTTGAGTAAGAACATAATTCAATTAACAACTTGACCAGATTACATATATACAGTAGAACCTCGATTATCCGGACTAATTGGGGATGAAGGTAGTCCGGATAATCGAAACAAATACTTTCATTTGTCTTTTAATGATAATACAACACATTTTCATTTCAATGACGTATCGGTAATATTAAAAATAAATACTGTATTTAAATCGTGATCAAATTTTCAAGAAACAAATGTTTTATTGAATTTGGACTGCTACTGACCAGCGCTAACAGACTAGCTATTGTTTAAAAGGCCCTCTGGCGGCTCAAGAATACGGATTTTATAAAATAAAAAGCAGTTGAAACTGCATTTTTATGAATAAAAATTTGACAGACTATTTGTCGTTTTATGACGAGTAAAATTTTTTCGTCGCGTTCTCGGCTTTTAAGTAATGCATAAACCTTCGAGGCGCGAGGCCCTTCGGACCGCGAGGCGTAGGTGGTGGCCCACATTGCCCATGCCTTACGCCGCCCTTGGTCATAGAAATGATGTAATTTGAGTATAAATTATTTATAAATACGTATGTCAAGTTATATTTTTATTACGACGTAAAATATATTTAAAAGTTTACGACCACTGGGTGAGACGTTGTTGAAACAAAAAAAGTAATGCGTTCCATCACGTACATAAACAGTGTCGTAACTCGCGAAGTGCAAATCAGCAAATTCGTAAAATTTCTGTTTATTTTGAACAATCCGGATAATCGAAAATCCGAATAATAGAGGTCCGGATAATCGAGGTTCTACTGTATATATAGGGATACTATAGATTACCACCTATGGAATTTCGGGACTCTGAGTATATATCTGAACTGAGAGGACCGAGACGAGTTCAACGATACTCTAATTTTGGACCGAAGATGAAAAATAAGAAAGTTATCATACTTTTTTCAGGCGATCACGCAATGATCAGGAGTCGCGTCACTCTCTCCACTCTCCTATTGCCTGTTTAACAGGCAGTCTGGAAAGTCGGCCATATATACCTTCAACAGAAACAGATGTTGATCCATGAGCACACTGATCATCTGCAGTTGGAGTTAAGTCCTTTTTGCCCACCCCCGCGCTCCTCAGCCTTGAGGCCTATGGCCCCTCAGCCGCTGACACGCTCACTATTGCTCATGGTTGTCTAGTACTACACGCCGCTATCACAGCTTGTCCAACAAACCTAACCTATCCCTCCAGGATATGAACATCACTGCTAGGTGGCAGAAAAATCTGAAATGGCATGGAATGCACTGTGAAAGGCAAGAAATTGTAAATATTGTAACTTTCTTATTTTTCGTCTCCGGTCCAAAAGTAGGGTACCATTGAACTCATCTTGATCCCCTCAGTTCAAATATATACTCAAAGTCCTGAAATTCCACAGGTGGTAATCTATAGTACAGCCATATATATATATAACAAAATTGGTAGAATCACATCAGTATTTGGAATAACACTACAGCTTAGGCCTGGCACACAACCGCCGAAACATTACCAACGTACTCTATTTAATTTTTTTCTGAAATATCTAAATACATAATTTAGTAAGCTTAACGGATGTTAATTATAACAAACCAAAAATAATAATAAAAAAAAACAAATCACAAAATGCTTATCAATTAATTTTAAAATGAACTTTGAAATTAAAACTGCTAATACAGTCTTAAAACGGTAATCAAAAAATTAATATAAATACAGAACATTTCTGCAGATATTTTTAAAAAATAATACGGCTTACTTCAGCAATCAGTAAATGCTCGCGAGTTTTAACAACTATTGTTCATACAAAGTTTAAAATTTTTATTCATAATCTTTAATAAATTAAATTATTATTATTAAAAACAAATAAATTACAAAAATTTAAACTCAAGTTTTCTTAATTTAACAACAACATATGTATCAACTTTGCTATAATACTTCTATAGCAGTATCTCAATAGACATTAATAATGTAAAGATTTCATGAGTAGCATACACTTAATAACGAATTTAAATCATATGTTTACAACTGAAGTGCGAAATTGTTCAAATACATCAAGCAAATACCATATGCACGATAACAACACGTTACACTACAACGTTTAAGCATTGTTATACACTAACTGTAATATAAATATTTTAAATATGAAATTAAATCTATGTGACAGTGATTAATAGCAAAAACTTGAGCATTTGTAATTGATTTCTGATTATCAATGATAATAAGTTAAAAATCCGATTTAATAATATGTAATTTATGTTATTTCATATATAATTAATATGTAACGGTGTGTTATATTATTGTTTTTAGGTAAAATTTGTATTAAACATACCCTTGCTGGCCATGGTGGATATCCACGAACTTTAGCGAAAACTAAATCCCCGGCTTTATAACTCTTATTGCTCATTCTTTTTGACTTATCGTAAGAAGCAAACGTTTGTAATGCGATTAAACGAAATAAACATCCACACTCTAAAAACAAACACAATTCTTATTTCCCGTACGAACTGACGCCATTTGTAAATATAATCTCGTTCACAATATTTTTCTTAACTAACGGTTTATTTATAAATTTATATTTTAATTTAACTTTATAAAATTATTTTTTTAATATTTTCGATAGTAGTTTTTTATTATAAGACATATTAATTTATATTATTTTGTAGGATATATAATGTTATTAATTTTAATTTAAAAAATTTTATTTGTTGAGTGGAAGCGGGATGATGGAAAGATTTTCTTGCAATATATTTGAAAAATTTATCGAATCTGTTTCATTTTCTTAAGTAATGGAGTTCTTTTAAATGTATTTCTTAACACGTTATAAATATAAGAGACATTTCCTTTCTGTTTAAGCTTTAAAAAATTAAATATAGTACTTGAAAATCTGGGAAATAGTGTTAATTTCATGATAATACAAATGAGATTTTGAAATATACGAAACACAATTTAATTACAGAAAATTCAAATAGCCGCGTTTCTTTATGCAGCGAGAGTAGCAAAAATGACGTCACGACGGCTATCGCTACACGTCGGTGCATTATAGTTTAAAAACGCTTTCCGCTCGAGCTAAACGTGGGTGCCGTAATTTATTTTTTAATTCCAGTTACAGCCGAAAGTAGTGTTTTAGTTAAAGAACTATAATATTTAAATAAAGCGATCGAGCAGTGCTGCATAAAGAAACGCCGCGACTATGTACAATAAACATCCATTCTAGCCACTACCTCCTAGATCGGGGATGGCAAACTATGGTAGACGTGCCCAAAGTAGCACGTCGAAAAAAGTATCTGGCACGCAATATATTATACGATTTTGTTTACTTTTTGTTGTATAAAAAAAATTTAAGTAACGAGTTATTCAACTTTGCCGGCGACATTTAAAACCACTCTTCGTTTTTGGTCTATCGACGTATGCTGACGTTTTGATGTTTGAAAGGTTGCGATCAATAGAGAGCAGGGCCGGCCTTCTCTATGAAGGGGCCCGGGTGCAAGAAACTATTTGGGCCCTACATTTTTTGTAAAATAAAAAAAATTATAAACACGAACATATATTAATGCATGTTTATTTAAAGCGTTATTTTGTTCTCGCTAATACACGAATTACTTCAGGAAAATTATAATTTTTGAAATTTCTTTTTCGATGCTTAATATAGCAAATGCATTAAGCCTTCTGCACACATGCTGGATCGAAGATAATTCTTTATTAATTTTAATTTGCCGAAAGAGCGCTCAGCACTTGCTATAGTAACTGGCAACGCAAAGAAAAGTTTTAATACATTTAGAAATAACTCATTATAATTATTATTTAGTATGTGTTGTGCGTTATTTACATCCCTTTCATTCAAAATCAAATCCCGTAGCAAACCAATTTCCTGGATTAGGTTTTCATCTATATCTTTGTTATAATGGAACATTTTTCTAATTCATGTTTTTCTAAGGTTTTCATATCAGTGATTAATTTGAAATCAGAAATAATATTTGGTATACTTTTAAATCTATCTTCTATTTGTACAATAACAGTATCAATTAGAGTGTTAAAAAAATAACATCTAAAATTCCTCTACCGGGTTTTCTAAAGCTTCA